TGTTGCTGATGGTTCCCAGTCAAACATGCTGTGTCAGAAGTTACCTGTTCAAGTACAGGTAACAGACAAATGTAGGTGAAATTAAGTTTTACAGAATAAGAGAAAAGACAGAATTCTGTTCCACATTCATGTTACCAAACAACACTCTGCCAACTTCTGCATTATTTAGTGATCTGCCCAGGTGTGCAGTGGGTGTGCACACACTCTGTGGTAGAAATAGTTTTAGATGCGATACAGAATTGACTGGGGTACAGCCACCTTCAACAAGGACAATCACAACAATAACTGATACAGATAAGGCAGTAGGTAAAGAGTAAGGCTGGGGCAGGCAGAAAACAGAGGGAAAAGACACAAAGAGAATACTCTCTTATTCAGAAGGAAATGAATATAATTGTTATAAAATATAATTAGAGTTCTCCAACTTTCTCTTATTAATTGCGATCACCTCCTCTGTGCCCCCATACTGGAAATGGTGTTCTTCAGTTAAGAGGGCTGAGCACAAAGAGCACAGTAGGGCATTTCAGATCTGTTAGACTGGCAAAGGGAAAACTACAAATTTAAGAAAAGCTGATAGACCAAGGGGTATGGCTGAACACTTGAAAACTCTAAATCCAGACTGTATTCAGTTTACCTAAGATTGACTTTTCACTTACCCATTGATAGATGTTCTAGACATAAAGAGGCTAAAAATTGAGGACACAAAAGAGTGATAGAGCTGGATAAACAGCCAGCCTGATTTCTCAATGCTGTTGTTTAAGAAGATTTGTGTTCCTTGGTCAAGGTAACTCTGGACAAAAATAGGTTGAAGGGATTCAGACAACTGTTCTGTGTTGCAGACATACCACTAGAGAAAGAAATAAAGGATCATTAAAAAGTTCAGCAATATAAAACCAGAAGTAGTTAAAACAAACTGAATACACAGAAGGCTGTTATCAGTTTCTGTAAATATAAAAATCTAGGTTTTCCTACAGACTTTTCAACAAGTTTCAGGATTAATTTCACTTAGATTTGAATTGTAATCAAGTAAGGACCAATCACTTTCTAAGAAGTAATGCTTTTAATTCTTGCTTTAATCATTACCCTGCACTTTGAGGAATTCTACGCAGTAAATTCCCTAGAAAGCAAATAGAGGTCCTCTGTGGAACAGCACCACACTGGTAAAATAGTATGAGGTTGGATAACATTATTTTCTGTTTTCCAACTCACTCTCAACTTTTCCCTAGGCATCCTCTGAAACCCAATCAGCAAGTGCATTTACAGTACTTTTCCAAGAAAGATGATAAAGAATCCAATCAATACTTTTGACCAGAGCTTGTCTGTGTGCTGGACTATGTTTCTTCACTTACCACTACCAAAGGGCAGGTCATTATGTCTATGACCTACTGACTCCCAGCATCTCTACTAAAAGAAGAAGCAGGTTCCCACATCTAGGAAGACATCAGTATCAGATGAAAGGCAAGTTCTACACTTTATATTGGTAAATTCTAAAGCCCAAGATAAAATGGGTCAATGATTCCTTTTGCCTTGTATTGCCTGGTAGCAACCAGTCCTACACAAACTAGACTAACCCTGATGCTATTCTTCAACGAATTGTGAAAAAAAAGAATGGTACTTTTTAAGATCAAATCTAGTTGGAGAAGTAATACAACATAAAATATCCTACTATTTTACTATACCTGTGTAAGACATATCTGAACTCCTTTAAAAGCTGGTTTACATTATTTAAATGCAGAAAAAAACCTGTGCAAAACAAGGCAAACATAAATTCTGAAATTTTAGGACCCTTGTGGCTACCTTCTGCACCTCCAGCAAATATCTGTAATGCTGCAGCATTCTGGAATGTCAACACTGACAATAAACTTCAAAAGGTTATTCACTGCTAGGGTGCAATGCCAAGCTAAAACCCCCTCCACTCCATATGCAGAAGTCACAAAAAATGTTTCAAATGCAATTTTAATTCAGAAGGTTGCTCTTATTTTTCACTCTCCTACACTTATGCAGTTATTGTCAGCCCTTCTATAAGAATCTCTAATGCTATTGTGTCTATTTTCTAATATCAAGAGTTATTCCCCACAGCTAGCGCTCTCTTATCTTCCCCCTACCTCTTACAATAATGTTCCTTAATCTGGCTGCATGTGTTTATTGTGTAGATAGGGAGTTACAAGTATCTTAAAGAGAAATGGAGAGTTTTAACAGAATCTTGTAAAAATGCATGTAGAAGGACAGCAAACAGTCAGCTGGGGTATTTCCCCAATGATTTAACATCTAAGATTGCATCTATAGCCATACGCTGCAAAAGGTGTGCTCATATCCTGATCCCTTCACATCTGTTGTACCTTGCTGGGAGGGGAACAGTCACTCAGTGCATGTTTACACAGTGTTCAGCACAATGAGACTTCCAGTCACTACTGTAAAATAAATAATAATGGGACAGGATTCTTATTCCAGCGTCCTGCTGCTTCACAATAACAGTGCCAGCAAGCAGAGGGGAGCAGACAGCTGCACCAGGATCATTACGCCAGATTCATAAACAGGGTTCCACCAAACACTGACCCAAAGCAGCAAGGGATGCTAAGAGCCTCCAGCCAAGGACCAAATATAAACCTGCTCCTTTACTTTGAAAACCACTTGTGTAACGGGTACATTTCTGGCAGAATCAGGCTCTTAACTGTACTTTCAAACACACTTGCAGGCAGCAGAAGTAAGTGATTCTTCCTTCTAAAAACCAGACTTCAAGCAAGTCTGTGCCACATTGATGGAGTGTGGCACAGGGAGCCCCGAGACTGCTGATTTACCAGTTTAGGTCTTTTCACACTGCAGCAGAGTGCTAGTTAAATGGATCAGCATAGTCCAGTGATTCCCAAAAGGAATCCCTAGTGAGTCGTGAAAAACCACTAAAGCAGCAGCCTGTGTACTTTGTCCATCCATCTTCAGAAGCCAATTTCAGGAGCCTGGCAGAAGCAAATGAACCCAAGGAGCAGGCTGGGCCATGTGTCAGGTTCATTCATCCAGACTGGACAGGTCTGGAGTGGCTCAGATGATCTGCCTTTTTCCATGTGTTGCCATTTTCAATCCAGAAAAAAATGTATCCAACTATCAGAGCTTTGGGAAACAGTCTTTGTTCCATAAGCAGTATGATGACATTTACACTGTACCTGAACTCACACACCTTGGTTCTGCACTGGACCGTCACTTGTAATTCCAGCATCTGGCCATGGAACTCAACAGCCCTACAATTCTTGTCTTTTAAGACTTCTAAATATTGATACATATTGATATAACTATTGGCAGAATGATGATGGTAACAATTGTGAGAAGAGAAACAAGAGAAACTTGTTTCCAGAAATTAGGCATTGTTGATAGATCTCTAATTTCTTCCTTGTGTTCCTCTAATTTCTTGCCAATAAGGTTATTGGCAACTACCTAGGTAACACTAGTAAATAATAGAAATGATAGCAAATGATAGAATGGGGAAAAAAAACCCAAGCAAAACAAACCAAAGGCAACAGAGGATAAAACCAATCCAAATTTCAAATGACAAAACTGGTGAAAACCACCTTAATTCTGGAATTACTTCCTCAGAACAGAAGCTGCTTTTGTTTTCCTCCATGCACAATACACGAAGAGCCCTTTTCAGGCCACAAGTTTCATGACAGAAATCAATCTCTTGTAGCAAAAAAGCAGAAAAATTACAGCAGAAAAATCTGAAGAGATACGTTAAGACCTTTGTTATAATAAAAATTATGGACAACTCTTGCCTAATACTAGTGAAAGGGAGAAACTGTTCTTTTAGACAACTTACGTAAAACTAATGAAGTCAGTAAAACCGCAAGGAGTTAAAGTACCTGAGGCCTCAACATGCCTTCCTTCCTTATGAGTAACCCCACAAACTCTGTAACCATAAATCTTGTTAAACTTACTAAATAATCGATACTTTATGTTTAAAATCTAGATCCAATGAATTAGAAATTGAGATTATCCAGTGCAGACCATCTACCAGTGGATGACATAACACATTTCCTTGGCTGACTGTCTTTCTAGTACAGTTTTTCACAACACAAGAGACTTTCAGACTCTCTTTGTTCACCAGAAGGAAGTTCTTTCTGTAAATCTGAATTCTGCTTCTCTTTGTACTTATGCAGTGAGTGATCCAACCCACAAACCGTATTAATTAAACCCCAGCAATACCTTCACTTGGTAGCAAGATTCTGGGTGTCAGTCCCTCCCCAGAGCACTAAAGAAGCTTCAGTAATGGATCAGCTTGAAGAATTACAGTGCATAATTATGTTCTACCTTATACAGCAGTGTTCAGGTATTTGTGCTACGTCTTCTTCATTAGCTCAGCTCTACATATTTTACTTAGAATAAGTTAGTATATTCCTTCAGCACTGAGAGTTTTTATTAGCCCTTCTGAATTCCTGCTAGATTTTCAGCAGCATTTTGGTAAAATGCAGTACAGATCCGAACATATTCCAAATGCAATCATATCACACAGCCATTGCACTGCAAGGGTATAGCCCCTCATTTCCCACAAAGTACTGATCCACGTGCCTGTACTGCCCAAGTACAGAACTAAGCTTTTACTGCAGTCATATCACATTGCAAACTCATTTCCAGCTTGCCATCTACTACTGTTCCAAGACCTCCGTGCGCTTCTCAGTTTCCCAGTTGCTCACTTTTTCCTAGTTTCCTCTAGCACTAATTAAAAACGTCTCGGTGATTACAAACCCACCCCATCCACACCACCTGCAAACTTCATTCAAGTGTACTCACAGAGCCCACCTGGCAGACTGTTTACATCTCTGAGGAGCAGCTCTGACACCCAACCCGACGCATTACCTGGGTAAGGGGACACGGCGCTGGCTCCCCACCCCGCCGATACCGCTGGGCTCCGAAGAACCCCGCGGCGAACCCCCGAGCCCACAGCAGCTCCGGCCCCAGCCCCTCGCCTCTCCTCCCAGCAGGCTCCCGAACACATTTCACACGTCAACTTTCTCACCGGCACGACTGAGCTGTTCCCTCTCTTTGTCTGGCGCTGCCCGGCCCGGTGCCCCCTCAGCCTGCACCAGGGTA